TTCCATAGACAAGGTGATTTATTGTTGATTACGTTTTAAGAAAAAAGCTTTTATATTTGAAATATCATTATAAAATTATTATTAAATATGAAGTTATTGCATTTTTAGTAGTTTACGCAACACAAAATATTTTCCAGGAATTTGCTGCAATTATATGTACTAATTCTAGCTGCTTTTTCTACCGCTCTCAAATGATACAATTACTTATGTATATACTTAATATTTCATGTTTTCTCTCTGTCTTCTTTGACAAGTGCATCTTCAGTGTATAACGCCGACCGGGTAATGATCTCCCTAGCATGACACAAGTATTCGCTCAAATACTTTGAAACGCAGAGGGTGGACAAATAATTGGGATCGCTGAAGATATACCAGTGTTAGTAGAGGATGGTTTCGTGTGCAGAAGTTCACGTTGGGCAAAGCTTTTGTCTACCAATTACCCCGCCCCATGCAAACCAACAACATGCCTCGGATGAGACCTCCTTCTTTTGATGACGAACACGGCAAATGTTTAAAGGACTATGATTTGAGAGAATGCACCTGGAATATTCGGACACTTAATGGGAAAGCTGCCTCTGCCTCATGACGACAAAGGTTTATATCACCGCCATCCAAGAAATCTGTTGGATGGGGGAAAGCACAAAATGCTTGGTGCCTTGCGACGCGTCTACTACAGCTAGCTTTATAATTTAAGAGAGACTCCGTCGCCGAGTACTCTCATTCACCAGGGGTGGCTCCACGTCTAGCCACAATCCGTATCAATGCGAGATTCTCCAACATTACGCTCAGCTGCGCCAATGCACCGGTGAAATAGAAGGACGAGGCGTCCAAGGATCTCTTCTATGAGTGCTGGCTGCGTCACGATATCAACATCTTGCTTGGCGACTTCAATGCACTGGTTGGAAAAGAATTAATCTTTGGCGCTACTGTCGGAAAATTCAGACTCCATGACGATATGTCCGATAACGGACATTCGCTGGAACCCAATACATATTAGTGCCTAGTTCCAGCATAAAAAGATCCATCAAGCTACATAGCTTCAAGTCGAAAAATGAGAAGCCAAATCAGCCATGTTGTGATAGACGGAAGGCACGCTTCGAGGGATTTTCATGTACTACGAAAGCCGAACATCAACTTAGACCACTATCTTGTTGCAGCCAAGATATGCACCCTCTGTGCAGCAAAAATGTACTTTCGACAATGCAAGGACTCTCACTCCTGCTCGCTGTGAGGGCAGTTTTCAAGAAACCGACATATGCGAGCAGTGGAACCACATTTCTCGCCCAGTAAGTACCATCAACGAGGAAGTAGTCAGATATATGCTGCAGAGAATATGTATATATATGCTGCCTACAGGACCACACTGTGCATTGGGCGCAATGATAGCCATGTGGGATGGTTATAGGGAACTATAGCGGTATAGGGAATCGAGACAGAAGCCCAAATTACGTGAGTGCGTAGAGCGTGTGATGCTGTCCGGTAGGAAAATCGCCCAAAAATTTTATCGGGAGGATTAGGCGACTTACGGGATATTTCAAGACACGGGCCACCTTATGTAAGAGAACCCATGGCGATCTAGTGATTGATGTCGAGAACATACTTAAGGGATAGAAGGGGTGGACCAATCTCCGTAGAAAATGGCAGAGTCTGTATGGAGTTTTTATTATGAAGTCTTCTGTTTCTTTATAACCGCTTATATACAGCATTATAGCGCAACGGTCGTTCCGGCTTCTAGCTTGCTTTAGACCGGGGTCTTCTAAACGCTGCGGAGGACTTTTTTTCGTTTTAAACCACGAACGGATGGAGCATTGACTTCCATGTTGTATAGCCTAATCGGCATAGCCGCTGAGCTATGTTAATTCCGTTGTCAATCGATATATTTTCGTATAATTTTTCTCTCGAACACTACAGGGCCGACCGTTGTCATTGCTGTGATTTTTCATGCTTCTGCGCGACACATCAGAAAGAGCATGATAAAAGACCTATAATGCTCAATTAGCTCCTAAGTTCAAAGTAGCACTTGCTAGCTATAACAATTCTTCATTGGATTTCAAGTTAGGTTTTAGTGCTGATTTCCAAGTGTGCGAAGTCTTCAACAAGACACGCATGCGTTGACTGCTTATTTAATGAGAGGAGATACTTTGCAATCGTTCACCAACGTTGGCTAGCAATTGTCTCGTGTAAGATATATTGAAAATTTATATGGTAAGGTTAGGTTAGGATAAGGTTTTTTGGATATTTTTCCAAAAGAAAAAGAGATTTTATTTTTTCACCTACGTGTAACCATGTGAAAAATATCTCAAGCAATCCAATATACCTAGTAAATTTATACAATACTACCGGTAGTTTATTTTTATTTGCAATTTGATAGTTATTTAGCTTTAAACGATACTATCGGTAGTTCTCTCTACAATATTGAAACTATCAAGGGGTATGACTATCGATAGTTTTGCAGCTCTAGGCAGTAGTAGCCAACCATCTCCTGCGTAGGAGCAAGAAGAGATTGCGAGACGTATTTCCACTGCTCATTTATATCCGTTCGATGGAGAGTTTCTTCTTAAAGCAGGATTGAGTGTGGAATGCGAAATTTCTCTGCTTCCCATTGTGACTGCAGCTTCTCGGTGTTCAACTTTCGTCGCACTGCCTGCCGCAGTTCTTTCTTCGGACTTTATGCTGTCTCCTCGAATAGAATGCTCGAAACGTACATATGTTCCTTCTATCACAACATGATCAATTTATTTTAGTTTACATTCCTTGATCAAGGGATACACAGGTGGTTTTGTGGATATTTCGATGCTGCTGGTTTCTGAGACTTTTTCGCCGCTATTACACAGGAGTTGCTATTATATTTAAAGCCTAATCGAGTAGTTAGATTTTTTGTATATCTTTTATACAGGCTCCTGCTAAACTAAATTTGGTTATTATTGTAACGTGAAAAGTAAGACGCTGACATTTTTTTAGTCACACTAGCAACAAAAAAATAGAGAGTTTTAATTTTTGATTGTATTTTCAGCAGTAATGTAACATAAAGCTACGTGCAAGAGTTCATCCTGAATATTGGCGTTCGTGCTGAAATCTATAACTTTATGTTACATTTAGTTTTAAGAACTGTAAAAGCATTGCTTTATAACAATTATGAGATAAAAGCTCAGTAGCAAAATCGCTAGAGGTGCGTGCTGCCACTCTTATGCCCAGGTTCGATCAAAAGCCGTTTCTAACCGCGAGCGCCCTTCGGCATTGTACTGCTGGCATTAAAACTCCTCTCATAAACATCAAAAAGCACACCAGAAATTAAAGAACAAACTAACCCAATGTTCTATGAAAATGCGCCTTGGTCGGTATGTACATATTTAGGCCTTTGATTACTAAATATTGTTAACTTCATACTTCTAAAAGAAAAATCTATTCGCACCATAAACTGGCAATAAAACGCAGAAAAAAAATGCAAAAAGACGTAACAACATCGTAAATTAAATGGAAAAAGTTGTGACAAGTATTTTACTTTTTTTCATAAAATGACGTGAGGAATGGTAATTCGATGAAGTCCATCATACAAATCAAAAAGTGAAGTTTTGAATTTTTTACTAGATATAACCTTTTGTATTTCAACAATGACGGTTGTTACCATTATTTTGCATTTAAGGCGACAATATGTATGTATTAGAGTGGTACAAACAATTTTTTATTTTTTTTTTTAATTCATAAATGCTACCTCAAATTACTGTTCGTCATAAAAATAAAACTTATTTTTTTATTAAAAAAAAGTTTTTTAGAGGTGGCGTTGGTCGGTTTTTTATAAAAATGCTGATGTTTTAAATTTTGTTTTTCGTGATATGTAAACATGCAGCTAAAAATGTTGTTTTTTACATCTAATTACTCAGGTATTGTTGGAAACATTCTCTTAATTTTATACCTGCCTTAAACAGTTAGAATGAGCCTAGTGTCTGAAAATATGCTTTCGAAAAGAGACTGCTAAAATTAAAACGTTGACACTGAACGTATTAAGTATTGCCATGGGTTAAAACTCGTTATCAGGGGGTTTCTGTGGCCACTTATTACGCATCTGATATAAGTTTTTCAAAATTCAAAATGGCGGATCTGAGTTTCAAACAAATCCAGCCATTTTTTTTTAAGCTGATCGCCATATTGGATCCGCCATTTTGAAATTAAAAATTTACGTAATCCACGTAATTATAGTGTATGTATCCATCTACATATGTATAAGGAAATCCAAATAAATATACAGTGCCGAACAGAAGTATAGGCACTGTGAATTTTTCACCATATATGCAAAGTTTTCTATTCAAATTTATTTTCGATAATTTTTTATAACAATATAGTTCATTTTACATCAGAAAACGTAATAATAAAAACTCTAAACTTTGTGTAAAACTCAGGAAAATTCATTAAATTTGCACACTAATTTGAAACTTTTTATTCAGATTTTTTAGAAAAATTCTACGTATGTAGTTTTATAGCCCATTCAAATTTAATATAACAAAGTGCAAGTTTGAAGTCGCTGGAAAATCGCATTGATTTTTTGTAATTTTTTTTTCACGCAAGTTCTTCCATACAAAGTAATTCGACAATTATTTTTTGTATGGAGAAAATGAGCAACACCTTCCACTAAAAAATTGCCAAAAATCAACGCGATTTTCTAGCAACTTTAAACTTGCACTTTGCTATACTAGTGGGCTATAAAACTGCATACTTAGAATTTTCTAAAAAATCTGAATAAAAAGTTGCGAATTAGGTGCAAATTTAATGAATTTTCCTGAGTTTTGCAAAAAAGTTTAGAGTTTTTATTTTTCTGTTTTCTGGTGTGAAATGAACTATATTTTTATAAAAAATTATCGAAAGTAAATTAGAATAAAAAACTTTGCATATATGGGGAAAAATTCACTGTGCCAATACTTTTGTTCGTCACTGATATGTAGGTATGTATGTATGTTCATAAAAGGGCATTTATGTATGTACTCGTATGCTATATTAAAACTCACATCATGTGACCACGTAATGCGATGCTCCTTTGGATTGGCCTTTATATGGCACTCAAAGTAAACATCATCGCCTTCTTTAATGTCATCCGGTTTGAGTGTTGAGCCCAACGACAGTGTCACTTGTGGTGGATCTGTGCTCATTCGACACAAATATTCGCCATGTTTGTCATTTGCGATGCCATTGCCCACATGCCGTTGTTGGCAGCATTCAGAGTGGCAGGTTTTTTGTTTGTTTGTTTGTTTGTTGTTAGAAGCAGAATGATGTTGTAATGCCGCCATTGATATCGTATTTCAGACATTATTGACATTGACCATGACAATGTTGACCGAGTTGTGAAGCCCATTTGCATGTGTAAAATTTTTGTCCGGTTAATGTATGCAATTTCAAGGACGAAGTATGAAAAGAAATTTAATCAGAAGGATAGAAATTATTAGTTAATATTGTATTAAAATTTTGATTCTTATTACATAAATATACTTATTGTTAAAGCATAAGCTAAGTGACATTTGAACAGTTTTGGCTATTTTTTTTTGTCTCTATATAATGTTTATAATTTTTTTGTTTACATGTACTAAGTATATCATGTTCAGGACAAAATAAATCAAAAAAATATATGCACATAAATGAAATGAATTATTGAAAATTATTTAATTTGAGTAGTTTTAAGTTAAGATTTTATTAACCTTATCAAATTTAATAATATGTTCCTTACACATACACTTGTGGTCACTGATTAAGTTAAGTGAAATTTTGACCAGTTAAGGTAAATTTTCTATTGTTTATTTAATTGTTTATATTTTTTATATTTATTTTTTAAATAAATAATAAAAAATTTACCTAAACTGGTCAAAATTTCACTCAACTTAATCAGTATATGTGATCAAAATATGCTCACTACAAGAGGATTCTCATTAAAAGTAGTAAATCAAGGGTTTTACACACTTCTAGTAAAAATTTTATGTTTTCATTATGTAGTTAAATAGTAGTTACAAAAGGTTTAGATAGTTTTGACGTATTTTCCAAATGAATGCCTTTTCTGCGATGAAAAAATCAAGTGTAGAAGGATTTGGCTTCACTTGCCATTTCCAGTTGGTGTAAGATGGCACAGTGGAATAACAACTGGCGTGCTTTGTTGGACTCGCCCTGAATCGCTTGCGCGGTTAGAACGCCAATTGAGATGAAGAGAGAAGTGGATATTTTATAGATACGTACGCCAGGTTTATAAAGTTCGGTTTGCACTGGTTAAAAAGCCTTTATTGTTGTTTTTGGTTTAATTTTTTTTTTTGAGCTTTTAGTTGATACTATATGGCAACTTTTTGGTGTCACAAAACTTTGGCTGCAGCACAAAGTTTTCCACAGATGCACATTTTGCTCTACGCTTTTACTCATTTTTTTTGCGGAAAAGTATCTATATTATTCAAAAGTTTTCTTTGATTTTGTTTTTCTGGGCTTAGACAATGCATTAAAAATTAATTATTATTATTTCTGTCGTGGCATTAAATCTTGTTTTTGTGATTCATTTAACTAAATAAATTAAAACTTGTAAGAAAAATTTTAAAATGGCACGTTTAATAAGCGCAGTGAATTTAAATGGTAATAGGAATATATATGTCTACATATCATGAATGTATATGAGCAAATCTCACGATTTTTTAATTTTTTACGACAAAAACGTATTTTACATTACATATACATGTAGGTAGTAAAAGAAGTAAATATTTGTGTTCCCTTATTCGGTTATCTGGCAAAGTAGGGGAAAAATTAGAGAGTAAAATTGGTCCCACTTTGGAAGAAGTTGCAAGAATTTTTGCTGGTAAAGTTGTCAAACCATCAGCTGTTCAAACGATTTGAAAGTTGAATAAGCAAAAGCAAAAGTACATCTGAGATTTTCACCCTATAAAATACATCGTAACGAAGAAATATCAAGTTCTGAAAGTATTTTTGTTGAATTTCTTGTGTATTTGCGTATAATTTACCCAAATCGCCAAATGATAAAACACTGCCATGTAAACGAAAAATGGCGCCCAGGGTGTATTTGACAATTTTTACCCGCAATGCGTTCCCGTACTTTTTTTTCTCTCTTTCTCTGAGAGCAGTTTTGCTTTTTGACGGTTTTACAGGTTTTGTCCAGAAAAGTTGAGGAACTAAACTACAACCACTCATGCTCATATACTCGTATGCTTATGTAACGTATATGCACCGTAGCACCATTTGCAGGAATCTTACACGTTTATTCGCACGCCTGAACTTAAAGGTCTTATTATTTAAAAATAATTAAATATTGGCATGACTATGTACATACATACATATATATTACTTTTTTATGTACATATATATACGGTGCCATATTTTAGAAATAAGAATAAGGAAAACTAAATTACAAGTGTACAATTATGTATGCATATATTAAAAAATATAGTGCATCAGCTGTTATAATTAAAAATTCTTTTATCCGGAGTTACAAAGTGGTGGCTCGGCCAGAGGCACGTTCAAAAGCAAAATGGGAAGGGTGCTTATTATGAGGGCCTGTCCCCCAACCCCAGCAGAGTTCCTGAAGCGCTCTTCTTGCGATAAAATCCAGTCTAACTGAAATGATACTAGCAAAAATCGTACTTTCTTGCTTGGATAGTAAGTTGTTCGAAAAGGACAAAATCAATTTTTTTTATAAGCCAAATGACATTATGATGAGAAAAGAACTGTCTTCTGAAGTAAAGTACGGATGGTCATCGAATGTACATATATAACAATTTAAGAATAATTTCGAATTTGCTAATTAAAATGGCATTTTAGTTTCTCGAAACATGGTCATCTTTAACTCAAAGTGTCTTTGGTCATTTGGTGACATACTAGTTTTATCACACTAAATTACATGATAAAAACATTTCAAGGTAAATTTATTTTCTCAATTCGTCGGCCATGATTTTTTCTGAAGTCCACAAGCATTTTAAAATCATATAACATTCAAAATACACAAGTAATTTTAAAGCAAAAAAACAAAACCGATTTCAATTCTGATATACAACTTTAAGATTATGTGTATTTTTTGCATGATCCAATGATCGGATTTAAACTCCGAGGTCCAAGGTTATGCGGTCTACATACAAAAAAAAAAATATTCCGACGAATTGATAACCTTCTCCTTTTTGTGAAGTCGGTAAAAAATTACAATTGTTTACAATTGCTAATGTTTGAGATCGAAAATGATAATGTGTGTGTGAGCTTCAGCTTTGAACTTTTATATTCAGACTGCCTCTCAATGATCTTATGTTTTTATCATTATAAATTCGTTCGTTTTGCAAGAAGAACATTTTCACCGTTTACTTTGAACATTTTAAGTATATAAAATTATTAAAATGAGAACAAAATCGCCAAATTTAAAAAAATTGCCAAATAGCTGCGACAGATATTCTGTATGCTGCAATTTTTTTTTAAATTTCGTGGCACACTCGTGGAACTTCATAGATATGTTGCGTTTGGTGTAAACGTGCACTGCCTCTAATACTTATGAACATTCTATTTGAAAACTTCCCAAATNAAAAAAAAAAAACAATTCCGAATTTTTGAGTGACAATGAAAAAATGAGATAAGGCTCTAAGGCTAAAACTGTTTCAATACTCAATTTATATTTTATTGTATTTAGTAAGTGCAAGAAGAATCTTTAGCGTTTTTTTTTTC